AGGTCTCTACGTCCATCCCATGGGGAATGGGAGCAGTAACAAAGGTGTTGCGTTTATATTTTTGTTGAGTGTATGTTTAAATAAATATTTTGATCTCGTTTCACTTTCATTAAACAAGGACAGTAAGAACAGAAACAATGAACATTAAATGTTTTGCTTTTTCTTCTCTTTTGTTTGAGATGATTTTAGGAACTGGGTTACATTAAGCTGCTGAAATTGCCCACTCAAAGCTCTGAGCTCAACCGTATTGAAAGTTTGTTTTAAAAGCCAGATCAGTGCCAAGAAATCAACAATTTTAAATGAGCTCTACCAGTTCTGCCAGGCCCTGGTAGAGTTTAAATATTGAGACAAATATATAGCAAGAAGTATGACAACCACTTGGATCTAATGACTTCTAAAACCACCCCGGCAAGATGTGAGTTATTGAGGGAGATTTAACCAAAAAATAGTGGGGGTATATAATTATTTGATCTCGTCTGTATACCTTTGACCCTTTGTAGAACTTGTGCACCAATTCTTGTTTAGTGAAGTCATTAAATGCTTAAATGCTTTGCAAAGTGGAAAAAGTTCAAGGAAATCATTAAAAGCTCAAATTACCATGACATTCATATCTACACTCTGTTATGGTTCCCAAATCTGCACTTTGGTTGCCCAATCATTTACACTAATAATGCTCTACATAATGATTGTTAGGGAAATTGCTCTGCAAGCACAGGAGGAATTTAAGTATGTTTATTATTACCTGTAGTGATTTTTAATCATAACTTGTAACCTAGGGGTTTATGTGGGGAAACAGTAAATAATTCTAATAAATAATTATTGCAATGCTAAGAAAAAATGCATGGTCTGATGTAAACATCTTTTGCACACTCTTGGTATATAGCATTAATTTATTAAAGATGTTGTGTTCCCTTCTCTGCATTTGACTTTTTATAGACCTCGAATGACAAAAAGGAAGTCAGGACATCTTACAGCTCATCGGTCTTCTTGGCACACGACACAAGGTTGCAGCACACAACCTGCCGGCCAGCAGATATGACATCGTATTTGGCAGCAGGAACAATGAAGCCACGATATGCTCCCTACTCACTGTTAGTTTTTTTTTTCCTTATTCTTTTTTTTTAATGTCTTGCTGTGCCCAATCTAGGTAATAGACACACAGCATTACTCATCTTCTCTAATTCTTAAACACAAAAAGCTACAAATAAAATATAACATAGCATGTTGCTATATTGTATTTGGGTTGACAAAAGAATTAAATAATAATAATGAAAAAAGAATTAGAAGTGAGCTTGCTTAACAAAAGGAATGAAATAAAACTTTATTTGATGAAAATATAGGAAAATAAATAAGTCACAGTCATGAAAATTGTGGGTTATCTTGTTGCAATAATACAAAATTATATTTTGGTGGTGATATTTTGCAAATGCCTGCTTTAAAAAAGTGTTGCGTAGTTTCTGTAGGAAGCCAGGCAGATGTTTTAGGAAAAGTAATATGTTTTTTTTTACTTTTCTTCAACATTTTCTTTTCTTTTTTCCTGCAGTTGTAAAATGTAACATAATTGCTATATTTTTAAGAAAACGTTAGGGAAAGATGATATCATGTGAGGTGAAATCATACAGTATGACTGTCAGCCTCTACTACACCCTGCTCATTTTGCTCAAGTACAGTACTTAAGTGATTTTACATTTTGAAATGCAGTCATTTGTGTAGGTTATGTAGAGTTTTTTTCTTTGTTGTTTTCCCCAAGGTTCTTACTTGTGGTAATGTGTCTGGATCACAACATTTTGGTCAGTTCAATGTAATTATCTTTTCCACAGTGAAGAAGCCTGCAGGGTGAAGGGGGAGGTGGAGGTGCAAAAGGAACAGGAGGAGAAGAATGAGAATAACAAGCATGAGCAGGAGAGAGAAGAAGAAGAGGTGCAGCCAACTCTGCAGAAAGAGAGGAGGCCGACAGAAAGCAGACAGACTCCAAGAGATGATGAACAGGAGGAAGAGGTGGACTTCACACATGAAGTGAAGGAAGACCTCCACCACATAAGGGTGTGGCGACACAGGGATGACAAGAATGAGGCGAGGGAGGACAATGAAGAAGAAAGAACACTGCAAAACAAGGTTTGCTTTGTACAGATTGTAAGGAAATCTATGGATTTATACATACACACACACACACACACACACACACACACACACACACACACACACACACACACATACACACACACACACACACACACACACATGTATATATATTATATAGAGAGAGAATTAATTAAAAATATATGTATTATATATTACATATAAAATATATTTAAAATATACATATTTAAATTTACTTAGGTAACTGTCCTTTTTGCACAATAAGATCAATGTAGAGCAATCTTGAGAATAAGATCATACTTTCATGTAAGATTTGCAAAATGCTACCTCAGAAAATGTCAGGAGGTTTGTGAGTCTATCAATAAAGGCAGACTGAAGATCCATTTTCAATAAAACACTGTTGACATAGATGTCATGCAGCAAGCACACAGGTTCCAAATCAACTAGAATTACACTCTTCTGGAAACAATTTTGAAATTTTATATTTGGCTATGTCATTTATAATCCACCGTGTGCACATAAAAACAATGAAATCTTCATGAGATAATAACATCAAGGACAAACTAACTTCAGTTTTGCCTCCATGATTCAATCTCTCACACAATTTGTCAAATGTGTCCAACAGTTTCACATGTTAAGAAGTTGGGATTTAGGCATTTCATTTTGTTATTCAGACATCTACAAAGCAGCTATGTCAGTACTTTACTGACATAGCTCCAGAAAAATGTCCTGTTTCCCCTAGTGTTTCATAAAAAGTGTTTCATGAAGTACACGCAAGCTTTTTAAACAACTCCAATTTCATAGAATTTGGCTCCAGATCTGAAGCAATAAAGTGAAAGAATGCTGCTTTGGCTTAGAGGGTGTCAAAATGAAGCACCAATGATGTAAGGCGCTGTGGAAATTCCAGTTTTTATCACCAGCAGTGGGCTAGGTATTCATTAGGCTTTTGCCACCAACTAATGCAGTTTGAGCGAACAGTGAAAACAAGTTTTAAAAGTTTCACACTTTAAAATTGGGCGATATTGGGGAAAAGTGTCAAAATTATGCATCAACACCCAGCCCCGCCAACATTTGAAAGGGGTGCACTCTAAAAGTACCAAACGCCAGCTACACTTTCAGAGAGGTATATTGTTGTACCATTAATCCTACGACAGCTTATGTCTGGAGTGTTATTGTTTAAGATGCTGTCATTGTGTCTTTGATGGGGGGTAGTTATTTGTTACAATTGTGGTTTGTGCTTTATGGAAACAAACCTTGATCCTCTTAGGAAAATTTTCTGCCATAATGTACAAAGGCTGCGATACCAAAACTAGCAACATCTGGTTTTATTTTACTTTTCCCCACCCAAGGGTGAAGTGGATACTAATGTGCCTTAAAGAAATAAGAAAGCTTATTAATTTAAATCATCTTAAACTCGAAAAGAAACAATGCAAATATGTGCTTTATACTGCTTTGAGGCATATATTTACCTTGCCTTCAGTGTATACAAATTAAGGACAGAAAGTACTTTTACTGCACATCTGTCTATCAAATACAAATGTTCTGTTTTTCTTTTTTTTTTCCTAGCGACTGACAGACAGCAGAGACCAGTGGAGCGAGCTGGAAAACAGAAGCTCTGCCATTTCTCTCTGCAACAGCAGTGAAGGCGAAGAGTCATTAAACTGCTACGGTCCCATGAGTCCAACATTCAAGGTAACGTGTAAAACCGAGGGTGATCTGTAGGACTTCTTTTGGTATTTACTGGGTCTCCATAATCATATGGTGTCTAGTGTAAACCTCCTTACAGAAAAGGTAACATCTACTATGCTCCGGTACAAAATTTGATGTATTGTACTCAATGTTCCCTCTAAGCTGCGCACGTGCGCAATTGCGCACTGCTGGCATGGTCTCTGCGCACAAAAAAAAAATCTAACCTGAAGTGAAATTAAAATTAAAACTTTAACAATTCTGTTTTGCAGTGCTAGTCAGTAATGTTGTGTTGGGCTCTTTTAATAAAACTCCTCGTTTAGGCAATAATGTGGAACCCCACCATGTTTATTCCAGCTCACTCTATATCCATCACATAGCATCCTTCCTGTCTAGAAGGGTAAGTACTGCCGCCTAGTGGCGCATGATATTCACCAATATAGATTACACCACATCCCCCTTACTGAAGTCAGACTGGTACATTCTTTTGTTCTTCAAACAAAACATAACTGCATATAGTTTTTTTCAATACAGGCATACCACAACATTTCAGGAAACATAAAGTCAGTATTGTCATAAACACTTTCTCTTTTCCTCCTGTAACAGAATAATCACTTTCTCTTTTCTTTTCCACCCGTAACAGAATAAACACTTTTTTTCTTTTCAACCTGTAACAAAATAAACACTTTTTTTCTTTTCAACATGCTACCCTCAAAACCACAACTCAGCATTTGAAACACACTTTTCCGTTTTCAAACAATCAGCTTCACAGATCAAGTCTTTTGGGTTTAATCACCTCCCTACCAGACCGGGTTCTAACCACACCTGGTGTATGGGGTGGGCTTGGCTCAGAAACTTTCTCTGTAGGAGTAGCTTGGATCTGTGTGGCTTCGGTTTGAGCCTCTGTTTGCGGGATCGGCACAAGATGACTGCGGTTCCTTCTAATTGTCCCTTGGGGCCCACTGATGACGTACGATCGTGGAGTCGGGTGGACTGCTGTCACTGTGCCCTGTGCTCTTGCATCCGTGATCCAGACTGGTTGTCCTGGCACCAATTTATCCAGTTCTCTCGTTCTATGTCTCTTGTTAAAACTTTCGGTTTGTCTCAGCCGTTTCTCTCTCTCCGAACAACTAACCTGCTGAAAATCAGGCAGACAGGACTGTAAGGTTTCAGGAAGCATTGGCAAGGTAGTACGAAGCCTGCGCCCCATGAGAAGTTGAGCCGGGCTGTAGCCATTTGCCAGTGCTGTTGTTCTGTATGCCAGCAACGCCTTGTATGGATCGCTAGCCTTTTTGAGGAGATTCTTGTCGGTCTGGACGCCTCTCTCCGCTTTGCCGTTGCTCTGCGAGTACCTGGGACTACTGGTGACATGCTCAAAACAGTAGTCCTTTGCAAAATCTCTCATTTCTTGACATGCAAATTGTGGCCCATTATCGGTGAGCAATACTTCAGGGATTCCATGGCGTGCAAATATTGACTTTCACAATCACATTGGCTGAACGAGTTGGACTGAGTTGAGCAATCTTGACATATCTCGAGAAGTAATCCACTACTAACAGATAGTTTTTGTCTTTTAGTGTGAACAGATCAGCTCCTAAGTTCT